AATTCCATCAGGATATATCGATATTGAAAGCAGGTTGTAGTAATAAGAACAGTAGGAAATATAGTCTAACATATTCACAATAATAAAAAGCCCATCAGCAATGGCCATGTTGATGATCAAATGGTGTATACATGTCCACAATGTATACTTGACTGCAAGAATAATCACAAAGATGTTACCAAAAATTCCTAACACGCAGATTAGCATATAAGCTGTTATTCTCACGATTGTGTCTAAAGAAACGCTTTGAAGTTTTGGYTAGTGACTGGAATTAGAAGTTGCATTGGAAAGATTGAAGTCGAAATTACTGTACGAATGGTTCATTTTGGTTAAGAAAAAGAAGAATGCGACGTACGTTCCTTGCTGGGCGTTATATTGAAGACGTGCCTTCAGTAGTAATCAGTTAACCTTGGATACAGCAGTTTATGTACAATTTTAAGTGCATCTTTTGATTATGTTAAATTAAAGATTGCAGAGCAAATTCTGTGGCTCCAGAACTGATCAAATATGTCAAACTTGTTTACATTCTGCATTCGGTTTTAATATCTAGAACAAAATAATTAATCAAACGACAAATTGGACGTCTGTTCGAGACGAAAAATGACAAGTTAGGAGTAATCATAGTTTATTAACTATGCACATCGAAAAATTATAAACTGCCATTCCGCTCACAAGCCATTAGTCAACCAATAACAAAACAACAACAAATTGAATGATCCCAACAAACAACGAAATGTAACAAAACAACAACAAATTGAATGATCCCAACAAACAACGAAATGTGAAGCACTTTCATGTTTGTAATATCCATAAGTCGTATTGGCAGGGTCGAACGCAATGTGCCAGTCTGTATTGTTCATCATTGCAATCGAATTAAGCAATTGCCTGCTTATAAGATTGGCGATTTGAAAACTGTCAATGACYTTCGATCGCGAATTAAATAGTTGGACCATCTTTTTCAGATTATGTTTTTTCAGCTGTAAARGRTCTTTGGATAGAAAATTCATTTTACAGTCGATCTATTTCTGTAAGCTATTTCCGGGATAAGCGGCCGCTTTCATCGCAGACGCGCAAATACATAAGTGGTATGGGTTCTAAAGGTCGCTTATATACCAATTTTTGCCCTCAAATACCTTATCACATAGTATTTTTAAAAATTAACAAAAACTCGAAAGGATGCAATGTTCCTTTAAGATGATTATAATGCATATAATTCCTTGGAAAAAACAATTGAGGAATATTGTACGCAAAAAAACTTTATTCATTAAATCTGCACCAAACTGACTACTTATAGATCAGTATTCTTCTCCTTCGTCGTCTTCATCTTCTTCCTCTGCACTGTCAACACCAACCTCCTCGTAATCCTTTTTAAGAGCAGCCAAATCCTCACGGGCCTCAGAGAACTCTCCTTCCTCCATACCCTCTCCAACGTACCAGTGGACAAAAGCACGCTTGGCATACATCAAGTCAAACCTGTNATAAATTGAAAAAACTCCTTTTTACAATTGTTCCGACATTGATGCCGATTCCAAAACTAAAACTCTGATTCATGAAGTTTCATGAGCCCAAAAAAATGATAAGGATTTGATCCCTGAGCTCGAAATAACGCTGATCCCTGATCCCATATCAATACACTGATCGTGACTCTGGGCAGCTCMCTCTATCTATTTGATAGATTYAGGTAGAAATGATATTTGAGTTGCTGTGGTTGAAGCCAAGGTTGTCTGAAGTATTRAWTCTGGCACAGAATTAAGTGACGAAATATGTAGGTCTTCACAAAATGACTAATTTTAAAGAGACGCTTACGTTATTAAGGTAACTTTGACTTGACTTTAAAACAATGCACTGCTGCTATGTTTTAATCATCTTAAAAACGGAGCGAACACGGCGGTGCCATACGCCATACACAAGACAATTTATTTAAAGGCGTCCAATCTAAATTGTAAAGAAGAAATGGAGACTAAATGGAGCCATAGTTTCCCATAGATTATGTTAAGCAGAATTCAGTTGTTATTTCCCACCTTTAAAGCACATTACATGGCTACTTTTCAGGAGGAGCCGACGGGCTCCTGGGAGAAATATATTTGTTCTTATGTCCCAGCCAGCTGTAAGTCACAACTGGTTGTCAGAGAGAAATTGAGAGAAAAAGAACGTTCTCCAGGCAAGGAATACTTTCTAAACATTTTTGCCAGGAAAATGAAAACAAGTTTCCTAACTAAAAAAATACAAGCCTTTTTTGACCATACAAAAGTTATATAAGCCTAACTTAAAAACGTCTGCCAGGAACAAAATTATTCTAAAGAAGGAAGGGCGCACATTTGCTTTTGAGATTGTCAGCAATGTCGCTCAAAATCCCTTTCCCAGGAAAAAATTCGTACAAGAACAGTTATTTAGAAGAACAGACCCCATCGGCTCCTCTTGACTTTTAGTCTTGCAATCGCCGTTCGACTGACATCCAAACGTCATTTTATCAGAAAACCTTTTATGAAATAGGTATATAATGTTGACATATTGGTAATCATAAAAGCATATGGCACAATGACAATGTTGGTGTTTTTGGATTGGACTATTTCGATTATTCCGACATGGCTGACATGGAGAAGCTAAGAAGGATATTTTTTRAAGAACTCTTAAATTTAAAAGAAAATTACTTTCAAGAGCATTTGACAGTACAAGAAAAAGATTACAAAAACACATTAGCAGGATCAGTAGTGTGAATCCTTTATTTTCTTTTGCTTAATGTGGAAAATTTGTGAAATTTCTTACAAAGTATACATTGAAACCTTTCTACGAATCTCATTATTTCAATTGTTCTATTTCTGTAAATTGAATGTTTTTGCATTGTAATAAGTCTAAATCAGCTAATCTTTAAGTAATAAATATAAAATATCGAATTTCAATATTCCATAGTCGATTCATGCCACCAAATCTTGCGTATATCTGGATCCACCCCTTGTCCATGCAATATGATTGACTTTATAATTCATCATCAAATCTTGTATATTAATTTTGGTTTTGACCAGGTGTTCCAGTTTCTCTGTTATGAATATCCACAAAGTGGATATCGTTGTTTGGTTGCACATTCGATCTGTGCCTTCTCAAAACTCTCTTTGCAGCCTGTCTGAAATCAGGTAAAAATATAATGTACATACAGGGACTCAAAGCTGAGTTCACTATTGGAAGAAACTTGGCAACAATAAACGATAGCATCGAATGATCGATTTTATCCCATGCTGGTYATCTAATGTTTSTCAGTTCKAATAGAATATAAAATATYATGTAAATTAAGTAAGGAAACCAGCTACAGATGAACAAAATCAATGAACCTAAAACGATATAAACAGCAGCTTTCAAACGACGTTCACGAATTRTTCTCTGATTTTGGCTTACATGACCTTGAAAGGAATGGGCTGCAGATAACCTTTTGACGGTTATGATACTCAGTGCAAGAATAATAAAACATAACATCGTCGAGAAAAAATTGTTTCCAATTNGGTGAATACAGGTCCACAATGTATGATTGACTGCAAGAATAATCACAAAGATGTTACCAAAAATTCCTAACACGCAGATTAGCATATAAACTGTTATTCTCACGATTGTGTCCAAAGAAACGATTTCAATTTTTGGGTAGTGGCRGGAATTAGAAGTTGCATTGGAAAGATTGAATTCAAAATTATTGTATGAATGGTTCATCATGTTTGAGAAGAAAGAAGAAAYCGACGTTCCTTGCTGSTTATATTGAAGACGCACTTTCAGTAGGGTAGGAATCAGTTAACCTTGAATGAGAAATAGCATTAAACACAGTTTATGTGCAATTTAAAGSGCATCTTTTGATTATGTTAAAGATTGTAGAGTGAATTGCGTGGTTCCATTGCGCAAAAAGAATTGATCAAATACTGTCAAACTAGTGTACATTCTGCAATGGATTTTAATTTCTAGAACAAAGTAATTAATCAAACAGTTTGACCGTCAGCTCGAGACGAAAAATGACAAGTTAAGGAGAAAAGCACACCGAAAAAATATAAAATACGATTCCCTTCACAAGTCATTAGTCAACCAGTGACTAAACAACAACAAATTAAATGATCCTAACAAACAGCGAAATGTGAGGCATTTTTGTAATATATAGAAGTAGTGTTGGCAGGGTCGAACGCAATGTGTCAGTCTGTGTTGTTCATCWTTGCAATGTAATTAAGCGAAGTCCTGCTTATAAGATGGGCGATTTGAAAACTGTCAATGACATTCGATCGCAAATTAAATATTAAAATATTTTCGTACGTAGGATTAATTATAAATATTTATTTTGCCATGATGATGGACAAGTTGTCCGAAAGCTAGGAATATTAAAACACACGTAGAAGATTTTTTCAGCTGTAAATGTTCTTTGGATAGAAAATTCATTTTACAGTTGATCTATTTCTGTAAGAGATTTTCGGGATAAGCGGTCGCTTTCATCGCAGACGCGCAAATACATAAGTGGTATGGGTTCTAAAGTGCGCTTATATATCAATTTTTGCCCGCAAGTATTCACATAGTATTTTTAAAAATTAACAAAAACTCGAAAGGATCCTTTGATGATTATAATGCATATAATTCCTTGGAAAAAATAATTGCGGAAAATTGTACGCAAAAAAACTTTATTCATTAAATCTGCAACAAACTGACTACTTATACAGATCAGTACTCTTCTCCTTCGTCGTCTTCATCTTCTCCCTCTGCACTGTCAACACCAACTTCCTCGTAATCCTTTTCAAGGGCNGTCTGGAACTCAGTCAAGTCAACGTTTAGAGCTCCATCAAAGCGCAGAGAGGCTGTAATGGATGAGACAATCTGGCCAATCAAGCGGTTGAGGTTGGTGTAGGTTGGTCTCTCGATATCAAGGTTACGACGACAGATGTCATAAATGGCTTCATTGTCCACCATGAAAGCGCAGTCGGAGTGTTCCAGWGTYGTATGTGTGGTCAAGATGGAGTTGTAAGGRTCGACAACCGCAGTGGCGATCTGGGGYGCAGGGTAGACGGAAAACTCTAGCTTAGACTTCTTTCCATAATCGACAGACAGACGTTCCATGAGAAGCGAGGAAAATCCAGAGCCAGTTCCTCCACCAAAGGAATGGAAGATCAGAAAACCTTGAAGACCAGTGCATTGGTCTGCCTATTGGTAACGAAACGAAAAGATTGTAGAATTTCACGAATGTATACAAGAGAAAAATGGATTCTTTTGCGGTAGATACACAAGAAAAGACTTTTTCATCATTTTTTTCTTTTTAAAGCAATTGTCATTTCTAAGATTCTCGACATATTTTCTTAGCTTTTACACTTACAAGTTTGCGAATTCTGTCAAGAACTTGGTCAATCAGTTCTTTTCCAACGGTATAATGACCCCTGGCGTAGTTGTTGGCTGCGTCCTCTTTACCAGTGATAAGCTGCTCGGGGTGAAATAGCTGACGGTAGGTTCCAGTTCGTACTTCGTCTAATAAAAAAAAAGCAGCAGTGATCAATGTTGATATGATAATCAGCAATAAATGCACTTCGGACTGCATTTGGCAGTATGTCAAAGTTTCAAAATGTTGGAAAAGCCTTAAAAAAGCCAAGCAGCCACGATTGTCCACAGGTAGCCCAAGCTCAATTATTGTCGATATACTTTCAGCTATCTTAGACGAAATTAGCTGAAACTCAGCCAGATGTAATGGTATTATACTAGKKTTCTCCYCAGARATCAKTAAGAATCACTGCCTTTCTGTCTGTTTTGGGAGTCAAAAGGAAGACTATACTTGTCACTAGTCCCTAGCAGCTAAGATGASTGTTACAAAGGAAGCKCAATGGAGGAAAAAAGAGTTGACTGAGAAGGACGCTAGTGTTATACCAAAAGCACATCATGAAAGTTTCAAGGCATTGTACCATATCAAGTGATGTAAGAATAATGTGTTAAAGTCACATAATCAATGTTCACTTGTATAGAAATAAAGACAYCAATAAAGTCATTTTCAAATATCATATTTRTAGTTTCTTTCGCAAMAATATTCAACATAAAGTTGCAAAAMTTATTTACGATTTTAACAACGTTTCATTCAATCTTTTTAAGGTTTAGAATTAAAATTCTTCCTGGGAATTCTAAAAACCGTTTTATGAAGAAGACTCTGTTGTTGTCTTTATGTCTTCACTGAACAACGTTAGGATTGACTGTATATTTTATGTAAATCGACAATTATTCAGCTTTTCACAACGAGTTTTATTAAATATTATAAAATTTTTGATATATAGCGCGCGCTCTGATTGGCTGACAACCGTGTTTATATTAGAGGACAGAGACACTGCTTACCAGCAAAATTTGTTTTTCGCTCGAAAAACGCAGGAAAAATTTATAAAAGACTATAAAATGTGTCTCTGCTGTCCTCTGATATAATTACAATGTGAGTTGAAAAGCACTAGAGAAGCAAGAGAAACACTCGTGTACGCGCGCCGTTTTATAGTTAAAAACAATAGTGTTTTTCTTTTCATTTGTAATAGAAGTACTAGTAACCCACGTGTTGATCCATATATCGCTTGAGCGGATTTTTTAATCYCTTTGACATAAACACAGCTGGTGGGAATAATGAAATGAAGCGACATTTCTGTCAATTGAGACTAGCAAGAACAGTAGAATTCTAAAACACTGTCATCATGCATMCAAATATCTAGAGGAAAATGATTTTGACAATTTACGTGAAATATGTACGTACGTCCGTACGTTCGTTTAAACGTTGAGTTCCAGTCTCTTCCTTCCTAGTCCCCATCCCCCTTCTCCTCCAAGTTGAATGCTAAATTTTGTTTTTCTCTTGAATATCAAAAGAAATTAAATTAATATTGTCATCGCTTAACACGAATATATGCTTACATAAAAATCCTTAGGCTAGAATTTTCGTCACGCATTACTGGTCTGTCATTCATATATATTTATTTTTGTACATTTTACAAAATGAATTTCAGGTAGTTATAACATGATAGCAGTTCTCGGCGCGCGTCTGTCTACGATGAAATCGTGAAAACCCTTATATAGAAGTATAAAACAACACTGATATTGTTATGCTATTATTTTTGACAAATTGCYCCGTGACAGGTTCAAATGAGGTCGACACATATTAAAGATTCAGGCTGCGAGCCATTCATTTGACGTGGCAAAACATTGCAAAGTTTTTTCATCACAAAGCGTGAGAAGTATTTTGTTTTTAAGAAGAATTTCTGCACGAAAACGTAAAACAGGAAAAAAAATCATCACACGAAAAGAACGTTTTAAATATTTGCGTTATTGTTGGCTGTAGTATTTGAAACTAAACACCTTTGGTCTCACAGCCATCTTTCAATAGTTAGTGAAAACGTTTCCTGAACGTTGAAGTGCATGTACAGAGAGTTCATATTTCACGAAGTGTAAAGACAAAGTATAACATAAGCCTTTTCGTGTATATTCTGTTGGTATTTTCAATCTATGAACTCAAATGAACTCAATTGAGTGAAACCCCACTGAATTAATACTGTTATTAGACATTGAAAAACTATTATTGCTTTCTTTAAAAACCCCTCCAGTATCCATGACAATCCCCATTTGACAAGCGAATTTGAGCTAACATAAAATACACAGTTGAATTTTCGATTCATGAGCCATAATAACTTCAAGTGCTTGGGCGCGCAAAATTTGCTTCATGCAAATAAGCAAACAGTACTCGCTTTTCGAACTATTTCCGTATGACTTACCGACTACAGTTGGTTCAAGATCGATGAATACTGCTCTTGGGACATGTTTCCCTGCGCCAGTCTCACTGAAGAAAGTATTGAACGAGTCGTCGCCGCCACCAATCGTCTTGTCACTCGGCATCTGACCATCGGGCTGAATTCCATGTTCAAGACAGTACAACTCCCAACAAGCGTTGCCCATTTGAACACCGGCTTGGCCGACATGAACTGAGATACATTCGCGCTGAAAATTGAGTAATAAACGATTTAATCAAATTTGAGTGCAAGACAGTTATTGAAACAGTCATGTCACGAACAGTTGTGCTTGACAGAGAATCGTAAAAGTACTTAAAATTTCTTTGGAAAAATTGCTATTTGAGGTACGATGCAAAAATGAAACAAAGCTGGCAAGCAACTACATGAGCTAGCAAGCAAAATCATGCAGTGAATTTCACGGTTCCGCCATTTTCTCCAGCTTGTATAAATGAAGGGAAAAATCCAACTAACAGATATAAAATGCTTAACACACATGCTTAAATGTGAATCTAAAAAACTTACCATGTTGAATTCTAAGATAAGGATAAGCAAACAGTCTGTTTACAGAGATTTTCTGGTAATTTCGCTTCTTCACAAAGTGGACGTAACGACCGCTTTGAGACTTCGAAGGCAATGATGAAATTAAGCACGTGGCGATCCAACTTAACCAGCAGTTACTCGCACGTGATTGGTTGGTTTTATTTTAAAACAATAAATTAGGCGGGTATTCAGMTCGCACGCAAAACCCTTTGCAAACGGTTACTAGAAAAACAATAAAATATCCTACGTCAACAAAGTCGATTTTATATCATCTAGAATGGGAATACTTTCGATAAATAATAGTTTACGGATCGTTTTTGCATTGAAATGTTCAAAACAATACACGCTATCCTTCATTTTACGTCGATGTGTCCAAAGGCTTACTCTTACGTCTTGCTCCGATTAAGACTAAACAATACTTAACAAAAGATGGCTTAACGAACACGCGGTTTTCTATTAACGAGTTAACGTAAGAGTTCAGTTATGCGTAAAGACACTACGTTACCACAGGTATCCCAAGCTWTTTTTTTTACGGTGTTAAATTATCTTTTTACATAACTGTTTCTTTAGAAACACCGACGCAGCTCACACTAGTTTACCGCTAGTTCCCACCAAGCTAGGTGTTTGTCTGGTTTTTAGCAATTTTTCCGAAATATATAAATTCAAACAACGATAATCATCTGTTCATGTATTTTGTGTTTTTCTTTACATCTCTCTGTGAGGTTTTCAGGCCATTTGCTTCAATATTGAGCGATATATAGCTGTTGTTCAACAACGTCTCCTGCGTGACGCAACAAGTTTTTATAGTCGAACCAAAAACATATCAAACATATAAAATAATTTGCAACATCTGCAGCAGTACTTGCACCACATTTAAGTATTCTCTTACTCCTAAGGCATGTTGTACATTTGATTTTAAAACCACCATATTGAGAAAATGACAGGTAATGGAACTTTATTTGAATGCGGTTATGTGAGCGTTGTTCTGAGTCTTTGCAAAGTGGTGTTTACCACAAATGTAAATACAAATCTCTTGCCATATACATGGCCATATTGCGCCTAATTTAGATTTCTCGTTGACAGTTGACATTGACATATCCAGTTTTTGACAGTTGAACCAGTTTACGGCCATCTATAGCTATATAGTGGTCACCCTCCATTAAGCGGTCACTCATGAATTCATTTCGATTCTCCTGCATATTTACTCTATTTACCTCAATAAAATAGTCAACCTCTATTAGGGTGATTTTCATCGGACTGTGAAATAGTTCCCACGCTAATAGACGCTAGTAGACTCTACACACATTGCTTTCTTTTATTGGAATACAACTATTAGACACTATTAAACACAGACTAGTAGTAATTTGAGTAATTGTTTCACAGACGGATCAAAATGACTCTAAGCGGTCACTTGGTCTTTTCCAAAAGTGACCGCTTAATAGAGGTTCGACTATTTAAAATGTGTTCATATTAGTACAAAACAAATGCAATGTTAAAATCTGTACAATTAATTCGCTGACTATTCAATATGTTTTATTGACTCGAATATTCATGATCATGAACGACCGCTTAAATGTAGGTGACTGAGCGATTGTCAAAGACTTCCTTTTATTGTCACAAAAGCGACAATGCATTGTCACTAAAGCGACTCGTCTAATTTAGTATCATGTGTCATAATTAACATTTTGGCGCCATTATTCAAATATATGTGGACGGAAATAACGTATTTGATTCATCTCACAGGGGAGGGAGGGGCGACAAAAAAGACTCATCCGCTTATGTTAAACAAAACACAAACAAAAACTAAAAAAGCAACACAAACCAGAAAAAATAAACGAAAAGAAAAAAAGAGAGTACAATAACATCGGAGAAAATGTGTTAACAAATAGTCAGGCCATATTTTTAGCCTCACGCCCCCCACATGGCTACATACATTTTTCGTCTCAAAAACGTGGTTTTGGAGAATTTTCTCAAAATAACAGTTATCTAGGCAAAAAACAGAAACGGCTACAGTTGAATCAACTATTCAGGGAACCTATGAAATGTTTTTGGTGAAATTTTAGTGAAAAAAATCACCGTCATTTTTGAGTTGAATGTACACAATTGGAGGCCTTTTACAAGAGAAATTACGTGACAAACCCCGGGTCAAGGTAGTKAACTCGCTCTCGTTGAAATTAAACAGAACCTGTCAAAAAAACAGAAGTGGATTTGAAATCCCCGCACTTTTGTGAACATTTRGATATAAAATACTTAAAAATCCGTCAAATTTAAGCACCGTCATTTTGGCATTCTTTACGGCGTATTCTACTTAAAATTGTGCACTCGCCTGACKAGGCGTSTATAGCATAAATCGACTGGAAAAGCTAKGATTTTCGTGGCATATAKAAGATGTTTTGTCACGCTGTTTTGATTATTATGAACTTGCTTCAGTTTGTATGGATTTTTGTATCCCTCGAAACGATGGCACTGGTTCGAGTGGAGACCAATTTGAGACAAACTACAATTATTCGAAAAATACTGAAGCAAATTATTTTTAACGATGCGGACTAGTGAGGACAGTGAGRAGCATGAAGAACTCTTTGAATAGCGGTGAACGTTTTTCATTTTCCTACGCGTTTCGTCTCTTAAGGAAGACTTCMTCAGGGAATAAATTTGCACAACTGTTGACCAGTAATATTTAAGTTTTAAATGAAACCTTCTGGGGAAGTGACTAAACTCTTAAAATGCTGGTTTGGGACGTGAATAACAACGTCGTGAATATAATGTTATTGTGATTTTAAAAATATATTTTTAGCGCTTACCGTATGTCCCCCCAAAACAACTTAGATAGTAGCAGTGATACATTTAGAGCTATTAAACAATACACTATTTCAAATCTGGCAAATATTTCTCAATAACCCGCTATTTTATTGTGGCGTGACTGCAGTTAAATGTAGATTTGAATACATAAATTCTATCCTTGCGAGTTATGACTTCTCTGGAGAGCCATCAATGTCCATATTACTAATCTTCGCTTTGTTATTCGATTTTCGAGATCTTAAAGGCTCTACTTTTACGTTAGATTTGTAAAAACCATGCGAATGCCGACTTCTCTACGGTTGATACGACTCAATTAACAGTGTAGCGCGCACGCTCAAGCCTCTTTTTCGTGCCAAGAGAGAGCTTGGGACCGAAATGAGCAAATGTTCCAAATGTATGGACCATTTTCTCCGATGAAAAGTCAATATAACGTTTTACTGTTAATTTTGCTTAATATATTTATCTTTATATTTTATTTTTCATTTTTTATTGATTTCTGTGTTTTGTTAACTACATTGCAAAACTCGCTA